ATCTGTGAAAAAATGTACATCCAAGTCCAAGTTTTACAACCCTGAAAGACAGAACTGAAATGAATGGACTGATAATTAATTCCAAGTGTTATATGAAAACCATAGTTCTCGATTGAAATTCTTCTTTAGAAAGAAAAAGTCCAAAATAAAATCATTATCACTTGTGCTAGGTAGGGACTCGAGTATTTGTTATATGCATCTTTTTTGGTTCACTTTACATGTTTAATCATCACTTTTCCCAATCTGCAACATGAAAGAGCAACTCTCAGGCACAATGTTATTAAACGGTGCAATTTAAGCTGAATGACGAGGCAATTGGTAGCTAACAAGGTTTTATTTATCTTTTCAAATAAACCATTTGCCAAGAACTGAGGTAGAAATGCTCAAATTTAGGAAAATGGGCCAGGTAGCTTAATAGTCAAAGACAGACTTCTTTCAGTTTGTCGATTCAAATGATAGGAAGGGTCTCTGTAGCACTTTCCTTGAGCAATGAACCTGAATTGCTCAAGTAAAACATGCAGCTGAAAAAATGGTTAAAAATGTAAGTAACCTTGTACTGTATTATCACAATCAGTAAATCATCACAATAATAAAACTGATTTGTTTCAGGCCAGCTGGATCTGAATGCATGTCCAAGTATGGGTCTGATGTCTTTTGGAAACAAGTGATGTTGCAGACCATCAAAAGCCAGCTCCCACTTAACACACAGCGTACACTAACAAAAAAACAAAAGTATAATGAGCTTGTTTTATTATAACAGTTGAATGTGTGGAATAGGATGTAAACCACAGCTTTTGACCTCAGGGTGTTCAAATAATCAGTATTACTGCACCAATAATAGATGGTTATAATAATTTTGTAAAAAAAGTTGGTGAGCCATCAAACTTGCTGGGGTGGGAGGGCTATTTCTGGAAATCAAAAATTGTTCATACAATAACAAAGTTTGAAATATGCAATCTCATCCTTCATAACAAAGATTAGAGGCAACAAGGTAGGTTAAACAGCAAGGTCAACCAGTAGTAAATATGACCGTCATAGAACTTTGCTCACAGCAACAGTGTAACCATTCAAAGTAAATAACGCCTTCAGGCTGGACAAAACTTGCAGAATGTGGAAGTAATTGCAAACCCATCCCATGACAAATCCAATTTAGCACCTCAGCATCATCATTCACTATAATCTCTGACCTGGTACTGACTGCTTGCATAACTTGACAATATTATTTAAAACTATATATTCTATCAGAATTTGTTTAGTCCGACCTGGCATACAAAGAATATCATGCTTACTTTTAAAAGGTTCAAAACTTATTATGAGGGATTCTGACAAAGATAGGATGTGGACTAATTTGTTGTGCTTTTGCCTATAAAGCAGTGTGCGCTACAGAGCTATAGGCCCAACATCGAATTCTCCAGTGCAGAACATTCCAAGACCCAGATGCAGGCCAAAGCCTTTCATTTTTTGTAGGTAAATCACACGTGGTTGTACATGCAAAATGATTTAACTATCAAACCTTGTTCCTCATCAATTTCAGATTTGTTCTTCAATACTGTTCTCAGTGATTAGATTTGGCATGGTTCAAACACACTTCACTGTAACAAAGCACAGTCAATAAAGACCAGAAGTTCCAGACATGCATCATTCCTAGATGTAAGACAAACATTTCTTGCTTTCTTATCTTTTAGTCCCAGTGGAGATACCAGTCAGTCAAGGAGTCCTTTACCGTTATGCCCATGACCTTTTCAGTGTAGTTTGATCAACCGCTCAGTTACCTACGCTCACACCCCCTCCCCACACTCTCCTACCATTACCACTTGCTATGACACACCCCACACATTTTATTCAATAATAAAAAAAAAACCTTTTCACAATTCCTCCTCACATGACCTGAGAAGCAAATATGTTCGACGTACATATTCATAAGCCAAGCAGTTTCACAGTGCTGGAGATGTAAGCAATCTCTGCTCTGCTGTACTCCAAAACGACGAGCTGGGTGCCAAAGATGCAGTGGGGCGTCGATAACTCCCTGTCGGTAATGTTCCAACACCCTGAAGACGAGAGCCCTAGTGGAGCGTTACCATAGGGATCACAACACAAGAGAAATAAACAAGCATGCACAAATCAGAGCAGAGTGCAACAGACTCCAGTCCGCTTCTCCTTTACGACTACACATTATCAAAGACACTAGACCAGACATAGGCTTCACATATACCCGTCCTCACATAAAGGGAATTTTAAGGTTTCTGTACAGCTACTGCTTTCACCTTGACGGCCTACAGGGCACGGCTTTCAATAAGAGCAAATAAAAACAAGACCACCATAAATACTTGTCTTAGTAAAATTGCTATTAGAACACAACACAAGCAAGAAACACCACCAAGCTTTCGGCTTTGTTTAAATAGATTCCTTGCTTTACATTTTATAGTTAAAGGCGGCGGACAGGCAGCATCTGGAATTTATAGTGTGTGGAAGTCATTCATATACAGTCCAAGGGGGAACAAATGACAATAGCTTCTGGCCCAATTCACCCAGTGCCCTTCATAAGGGAACAGTGCAGATTTAGAGGACCCAACATGCAGACACTGAGCAGAAATGGTATTCCTGTCAACTGCCACCACTTCCATCTCTATCATGCTCCTCCCCATGACACCAGAAAGTGGGCTCCCTCTGGAGTGCTAGTGGACGGCCTGAAGCTCTAGGCCTCTTGAATACCCCTCCCTCTTTCCCTTGTGCTCATTTGCTCTCTGCATCCCCAGCACTGCAGCTACCTCCATGAGGAACCAATCCTAGGAGCTCAGTGGGGAAGGATTCTCCTTTCAGTTACTCAGCTTTTACTTGCTTGCACACTAAATTATTCATTGACCTGCAAATAAGTTTGCAAGGGCTGATGGGATTCTAGGAGCAGAAATATGGTTGAATGAGGGCTAAAGGAATAACATATTGAGATATCCTAAGCCTGCAACACAGGCCACAGTAGAGAAACAATTCATAGGGACCAGTATTAATCAAAAGGCAAAGCATCTCACTTTTACCTACACACTGTATTAATATGCCAAGTTCCACAGCATGGGACAAAATTTAATAAGTTTCAGGAGTATATTTTAAATGCAATATAGATGCATATGAAACAGTGCAGTAGGGAAAACATGAGGAAGAGGCAAAAAATAGTTCTCATTAAAATAGCAATGCAGGCAAACATACAGCTTTTCTCCAAATAACTTCTCAATTCATACGACCGTCTACATCACCCACTTGGCTAAGCCAACACAAAGGGTCACTTTCACATACATTCCAAAAGCTGGTTAAACAGCAGCCCATAGCAGAATGACCATCAATGGCTGAGACCAATTGTGAACCCACCAGACAAGGAACACTGGGCTTACGACTGGTATTTCAGCTTGCTCATGCATTGACACTGGTCTTGAGTCGATGAAGGCTTAGAAATAAAATGCTTCAGTTTTTGCAAAGCAGTCCTTAACATGCAGTCTCCACTCTAACATGCATAATACCCAGTAAAGCTGAGATCAATAGATATCATGCAATAAAAATAAATCCACAAAAGTATAAGCAACTGATTATAAATTTAAAGTTAATTTATGTACTTATTTGTCTTTATGTCCAGAACGCGTTATTATTTTTTCCTTCGCTTTAAAGCTTAGTACGTTTTTGCCAGAAACAGCGCACACTGCATGCTTCAAAAAACTCCGCAAGGTATCTTAGTTTCAGCTACAAAAGAAACGCCAAACTTGAGCAAGGAAATTGTTTTTATTTCAAAATTCATTGCAACCTAAAAGATTTTAAGTTTTCATCCAGATTTCATGATCCACTAACAACTAGTTTGTACAGATCGAATCTGCAGTAAATTGCGACGGCCACGTCCAATGGCAATAACAACATATTACAATGCATAACCAACACATCGCTCATGTAACAGCTTCGCTCCAACTGTTAACAGAAACATTTCATTACTAGGAAACGCGTTTCACTGTTAGCTTTTGTCTGATAGGAAAAGGTTTCTACAAACTTTACAGAGCTCGGCGGCTGTTAAACCGCACTGAGGGTCCTCTCTAGAGACGAGTCTCTCTCATACTAACTGCAGCATGTCACACTTAAAAATAAACGCTTACATTTACTCTGATGGTAAAAAACTTTCAAAACACCCAGCCCCGCATCACAGACCATCTTGTACCAGACAACTGGCGCTGAAAGGTGTGGTTAACTAGTCAATGTAGATAATGTGATATTGTAGTTAAGGCATCGCTCCCACCGCTATAACAAGCGATGATATTAACTGTCCTTCTCCTGCAAGCGCTAACTTTTATATTAAATGGCGACTTATTGAGTAGGCGTTAAAAACGCTTACCCTTGTTACAAGTAAATACATAATACATACATACATGGCCCCAAGTCACAACATTAATACCAATAAATCCAAAAGTCATCTAAATGTTGCTGTAGATAAGCAGAAGGTTGGACAAAGTTAGCAGCCTTCATTTATTCTCTTTAACAGCAGTATGATGGATCATCGTGGCTAGCTTTCATTAATATTCACCCATCGGATAAGTAAACTGCGCTTCGGCTAGTTAAAAAGTAGATAATTTGTGTCTCGCTAAAAAGGAGTCGGCGCCGTTAAATGGACGCGATTGCCACCTGGGTTTACTGGGCGCTGAGTCGATTCAAACGTGAAAATGCAGAAAATATTGGTAACCAGAGGAAGGGAAAAGCTTAGTACTGAATTAATTGTACACAAACGTGTCGTACTAGCACATAGCCAGACAGCCGAGCAATGCCGCTTGGATGGGTTTTTATGCAAGCTCATTTAACACCGAGGTCGGCCGCAGAAGAGAAGCGCCGAAACGAGATGACAGACAACGGCCAGCCGGCTGCTGATAAATACTCAACCAGCTAAACCAAGACAGCGACTACGGTGAAACTAGAGGAACCGGGCGACCGAGCCGGATAGGGGTCTCCAGTCACAAGGAAACGGGACTGAGTCTTACCTTTAACGAGACGCTCGGTGGTAGACTGTTTATTCGGGTCTGGTCTCCCTGACATTTTCGCTCTCCTCGGGAATTTGATTAGCTCGTCACAATCTGATAAATCCTTCGTTCGGTTGTTAACAATAAAAGTAAATAAGTAAAACGCCTCGTTACCCGCTAGCCAGCCGGTCGGCTAGCAGCCCGAGTTCAAGGATTACAGTTAGACGGGCGTCCCTACCCGGCGAGGTGGGAAGGGAATTAGGGGGACCTTCCCGGACTACAGAAATGCTGTTATTCGTAACACGCTCGCTAACTACCGGTTTCAGCTTTCGCTGGGTAGCTATCCAGCTGCTGTCAATTCCTGTGACTGACGGGATTAGCTAGCTAGCTAGCTACCCGGGGTAGCAAAGTAAAATGCAGACCGTATGGAAAAATGGCTATTTGAAAAATATATAAATTTAATATTTTTAAAAAATCAGTTTCCCCCACTTTGCTTACGATAAAAGAATCACGTTAACTATCTAAATGTCGCAGAATGCCAGTGCCGTTTTATCCTCCAGTCCATCTAGGCACCTGGAAGTGAGACTGCTTCCCTCGCGCCCGTCCGCAGGCTGACCCACGGCTAGGTAGCAGACTGCTCTCGTGCTCTTTCTCGTGCTCCCGGATTAAACAAACTCCGTAATCCGCCAGTCCCGCGACGGATTTCCTACAATATGGCGCCAATGAGCGCTGCTGGGCGCTCTAATCTCTGGGTAACGTAGTGCATTGAAGTGTTGACTCAGCAAAAACATTTTCTTTAAAAACCATGTCCCCCAATAAAATTATAATGAACAATAATAAGAAGGAAAAAGTCGACCGGGGCTATAGACCAGTAAACGAATAGATCGTAGTACTACGCACACAGTAATACACAGTACTAAGTACAATTGTGCTTTTTCATCAAACTGTCACATATCAGACAGCTCCAAAATGTAGCCTACATTTTACATTGACTCAAGTATTGAACTGGCTGTATTTGGGGACAATGTGGTTCTGTGGGTTAGGATCAGAATGTCACCAGTTCGAATCCCATGGTTGGCAGAGTGATTTCACTGTTGGGCCTTTGAGGAAGGCTTTTAACCTAGATTGCTCCAGGGACTGGCTGACTCTGCTCTCTTATCCTCACTTGCATGTCACTTTGGGCACAGATTCTACTATATAAATTAATGCAGTAGTTATAGAAGGTGAGTAGCAGAACTTTATGCTGCTTTCTGGCATGTTTTCACAGCAGTATTTCTGTTCATTTCCGCTCCTAGGCCATAATGTGTGAAACACCATCATGGAACTTAGATGATTCCTCAACATGTCGCACAACACAATCACTCTTCTAAAGAAGCATGTGGATGCAAAAGTAACGAAGTACAGCAATTCAGATTTGTTTATGACGAGGCATTCCCAAATGGTATGACCATTCTAGATGGATGCAAACTGCATTTCGTTGCCAGGTACTTGTGACATGTGCAATGACAATAAAGCTGAATTCTATTCTATTCATACATGTCTTATAATATCAGTGTTTCATGTCAGTTTGCAGTTCTTATTAACTATACATCTTAGCCACCTATTAAAATGAATGCCTTTTTAAAAAACGTTATGGAAACCCCCTAATAAACCACAGCACATTTTCACAATGGAGAGGGACAGAATTCACTATAGGAGTGCTTCTCCAAAACCAGTTTTCAGTCATATTCATGCAAACATTGTTTGCACAGGTTACAATGATTGATAAACACAGATTCCAGATATCTAAATATTTCTATTTGAATCTATTGAAACTGAAATGGAATTCAACAAATTTTAATTTTTATCCGTTTTCTATTTACATATTTCAGGACACGTCTGTAGATTAAATGCATACTTTTGGCAACACTTTACTTGAGGGGGCACCACTAATATAGTAAGCTCTTACTTTATTGTATTAATTAACCAGAAACAAAGTGTTAGTTATGTACTGATCCCATGCTTGTCCATCATTAGTCAATCATATCATGTATTTTCATTACTATATTTATGATTTGTACTTCAGTAGTAACTGAGCTACAAAGTTACTTGTGCCCCTTCAAGTGAAGTGTTTCATATTTCCCCACACTCAACCCAGCAAAAGTAGTTATTTTTTATAGACCATCATAAATTTCAACATAAAAACGGTATTAAATACGACAAGAAAATCTTAAAATTATGAATTAACATCTGCTCAAATCAGATGGAACCATTTCTTTGTAAGGTTACCCAAAGGTAAAGGTTTTATTCAGTTCTACGATCAGAACAGTGTGGATCAGTTACACAGTACAATTAAGTTGTACAAAAAATAAAATGTACATAGCTCCATTTAAAAGTATGGCTTAAGAAAGAAGTAAAAATGGTCCTTCACATGGCTTGTAAAATAAAACTACAAATAATACTTTGACTAGGCAGGCACAAGTGTTAATAACATGACAGAAAGGACAGAACCTCAAGATTCCAGGAATGAAAATTCACTGGCAACCAAAACTAAAAGAAAAATGTCCACTTCTCCAAAACTGAGAAAATTTGCTGATTTTTGATAATGGTTTTAATGAATCCCTCTTCAAAATCCTCTTAAATGCACCATAAACTCATGTGCAACATTGTATGAGTGCAGATAAAAACCAGTATTTTAAAGCTTGTCCTAAAATGTAATCATTCTATCTCACAAAAGCTTAAAGTAGAACACAACAAAATTCAAGTATAACCATGTTTTGTTATTCTTAAACTCAAAAAATCCAAATGAAACAATATCCTCAAATTTTGTAAATATGAATTTGGAAAATGAACTTTAGTATTTCACGTAAGCACTTACTATCATCTGCAATGATTACAAGATATCTTTAATAGAAAAAAACAATATTGTATGACTCCAACCATAAAGATCTGAGAGCACAAGGAATAAAAAAAAAAATCACACAGCCAGTTTTAACTTCCTTTATTAATTTGTGGGTGTAAGCCTTTTTTGCATAGAGTCCAGACAAGCTGCCTCCTGCTGTTGTACGTCAGTGATTTTCTGTGACTATCAAACTGTTGCCTTCTTCTGATCACATTTTCACACAGCACCTAGACCACCAAAAATTTGAAGCTTGTCTGTAATGAAAGTTGGAATAAATAAAATATTGAGAAAGAGGCATAAAACCAGTTAAAATACAAACACACAATCTAAATGTGCATTCAATACCTACACTATCATCAGTCACAGGATGCTTTCCTCAAATATAATAAATACTCAACTGCCATTCAAGCCATTGACAAAAAAAAATCCTAAACAACCAAGTGTCAGCTTATCTAAGCAACGGAACCCTGATTACACTCAGATATCCTTTGCTCAAGTGTTACAAAATACTTGTGGTTGAGAACATAAATTGCCAACAGCCCCTAAAAAAAGGGAAAAAACCAAACAAAAAGACACCTGAAAAATTACCCCAACACTAACCAATAAAACACCCATCCACCCACCTACTAATTCTGATCAAATTGCTAGGGTCTTATGGGTAATCTGTCTAGGGGAGGGGGGCAGCAGGATAACATTCCTCACTGAAATACCACTGCTATAATTGCCATGGTTACGCAACAGTACATACAACTGTTGCAGACTCAATTCTGTATATCTGATCATTAGATCACTAACTGACAGCTGTCAGTGAAGCATTTGATTTCCAGTGAAAAAGTATGTACAGAGCAAGGATAGCATTCTTTTGGACACAGAAGAAAGGGTTAACATCAGCACACCAGGCAAACCAGAGCACAGTGTTGGGGAGAATCCAGTCATTAAAAATACAAATGAAAGAAAAATGGTCCAATGACATATACAACTTAAAAAACCTTACAGGTAAAATCTCTTATTTGGTCACTAGGAATTAGTTTATCTCCTTATATTAAGAAAGACAAATAAACAAAATGAAAATTTAAAAAGCCTTTTAACTGGCAGTTTGATCAGATCACGCATTCTACCTTCTATTTTTTTTTTTTTTTTTGGTTTAAGTGTGGTCAAGTTAATCGGGCCACACAAACAAGCAAACATCTTCCACCAGTTTCGAGGGGCAAAGTAAGATACCTGACTGGGCATAGATAATATACAAGACATATGATAACATGAAGATTATAGTTGGGGTCTGTGCTCCAGCCATGTTCAGTCTGAGTCCTTGTTCATGTGCACACTGTATAAAATTAACATACATTAGCACTGCCAAAAAGGACACCTCATGGAGGAAATCTAAAGCTATTCCAATCCTGCACTGCAAATCAAGCCAAGAAAGCCTGTCACCTTTGATTTCCAGTCATTTTCCATTTGCTGAGAGAAAAACAAACAGCACCAAGTCACCAGGACTGTTGCAGTGAAATGTCCTCAAAGAGTTTGGTCTCAGAATCTAAAATGAGAGAGCCAATCACATCGCAGTACAGTACTACCATTGCATATAGGAGTTTCTCTCTTGTTCTAATTGTGATTTCATACACTGGGGCAGGGTCGGGGCACAGGTCCAGCCCATCCAGTTGCTTGAGCACAGTGTGACCGACAGTCAGGGTCTGCGAGGAGGAAAGTACAGTATACAGGTTCACGGTGCCGTGAGGCCTAGCCCAGCTGTATCTGCCCAGAGTACATGGTAAGGAGCAGCATTATGGAAAATCCCGTCAGCAGTCCTGCATTCTGAATGGCGAAGGTCACCAGGGAGGCACTGCCTCCGCTCTCCTCCTCCTCACGGCTGACCTCATTCATCTCAGGAAACTGGACAGGGAGAGAGAAACCGAGGAGAATGGTCAGGAGCGACATCTCAGCTACGTCGTCTTCAATAAATATCCAAAAGCTGCACAGCATCAACGCACAAATGTATGAAAGACATCACTAGTTTCAGACACACCATTTTAACAGCAGTTATGTTTATCCATCTGCATTCAAGACTTAATGTCAGACCTGAGTCTGATGTCAATGTGCCTCACAAACAGTGCACTGAAAATGCTTAGGGAGAGAGAACCATTATGTACCATCAATCATTATGTACATCCTAAATATAATTTTTTCCATTAAAAGAGCAATTTCTTATTAAACGAGATAATTCAAAGCAATTCGATCATTCTGAGTGGGTTTCTTTTTTTTGCAGTAAGAATCTGCTATAGAGACTCCCCAATCGATTTCTTATGCAATAAAACAGGCCATCTGCTGGCTGCTATTCGGAACAGTGATCACAATCTAATTTGCATGATGCTTTCCATCTCACTAAGCATTTCACCATCAGTCACATTTAATCTTTTTGCAGTACAAACTGGTTTAAACTGGAAATGGTTAATGGAAACTTCCCTTATGAAAAGTTTACACTTATCAGCCATTACATTAAAACCGCCAGTCTAATACTGTATAGGTTTCCTTCATGCCATCAAAACAGCTCTGGCCCATTGAGGCATGGACTCCCTAAGACCTTGGAAAGTGTCCTGTGGTATCTGGCACCAAGACGTTGGCCAAGACGTTTAAGTCCTATAAGTTGTGAGGTGGAGCCTCCATGGATCAGACTTGTTTGTCCAGCACATCCCACAAGTGCTCGGTCAGATTGAGATCTGGGGCATCTGGAGGTCAAATCAACACCTGAAACTCTTCGTGTTGCTCAAGTCATTCCTGGACAGTTTTGCAGTGTGACAGGGTGCATTATCCAGCCAAAAGAGGCCAGTCATCAGGGAATACCGCTGCCATAAAGGGGTGTACTTGGTCTGCAACAATGTTTATCTCTTACCCAGGTTAACGACACACGAGCACCCAGCTTTCCACATGATGTAACAGAAAATGTGACTCATCAGACCAGGCCACCTTCTTCCATTGCTCCATGGTCCAGTTCTAAAGCTCATATGCCCAATGTAGGTGCTTTTGGCAGTGGACAGGGGTCAGCACGAGAACTCTGACTGGTCTGCGGTTACACAGCCTCATACAGAACAGGCTGCAATGCACTGCATGTTCTGACACCTTCCTATCATAGCCAGCATTAACCTTTTCAGCACTTTGTGTTACAATAGCTCTCCTATGGGATCAGACCAGACGGGCTGGCCTTCACTAACCACACCCATCAATGGGCCTTCGGCGCACATGACCACATCGGCACTTTGCCAGTAGGCCTTCCTTGGGCCACTTTTTGGAAGGTATTGACCGATGCATACTGAGGTCACCCTATATTCTTGCCGTTTTGGAGATGCTCTGACCCAGTCGTCTAGCCATCACATTTTAGCCCATGTGAGAGTCTGGGGTACATTCTGGATGGAATGCTATTCCATCACAAGGGACAAACATACACAATCAGGCACTATGGGCAATTTAGCCTAACTGCATATTTCAATGCCACAGGAGGAAACCAGAGTACCCAGAAGAAAAAAAAAACTGTTTTCATTTTAGAATGCGGGAGCAGGCAGGAAGCGACTGATATATGCCTGCAGGAGCGTGAGAAAAAAAAAATGATTTGCAGGATCCCACAAAAGAAAAGGGAAACAGGCTGCTATGCCTAATTTGGTTTTTACACAGCCAGCCTATCCTGGAACGTTCAGAGGGGTGTCAGCACTTTGAAAGGCCCTCGTCACTCTCATAAGTGTGGCTAATGATACAGGGCCAGTGCGAAACATCTTTAATGCCTGACGATGTAAGCGCCAGCTTAAGGAAAGGTGAATATAACACTGTCAAACTAAGTAAGGAAATTCAGATATTTGGTCAGTGCAATCCTTAAATTGTAAGCCACCGCAATGGGAACCACTGGCCTTTTGCCCATTCTGACAAATGTAACAAAGTACTATCATAGACTGGGCACAAGTCTGGCACTTCAGGGCAACATGTGATCAATTTTAAAAGACCAGACTGCACTGATATTCACTGCAAGGGCAAACAAATCAAAGGTGACAATTGCACTAAAAACTGAAAGAACACACAAATATGTGGACTGCTTGTGCAGATCTACGGCCTGTTATTGCAAATGTTTTTGCAAATAAAATATACCTATGTGTATGACTAGTAGGGTAGCAAAATTCTGGGAATTTTAAAAGTTGGAAACTTTATATTGGAATATATGCAAAATTACAGGTTGGCCTATAACAGGGAACTTAAATATAGTTGAACTAAAAACATCTACGGAACTAATAGTGATATCATTGTGTAAGCAAGTGCTTGTGAGTAATTATGTATATGTAAAAACACCCCAAAATAAGCATCTGCATCATAACGCACTGCTTATTAATCATATTCTATGTTGTATTATTCATACATTTTGCTTTCTTTGCTGTATCTGACAGCTTGCACGGAATTCAATATTTCCAAAATTTCACAGCTTAACTTCCCATGGAAAGTTTCTGGAAATTTTCCACCCCTTTGGAACCTTAATGACTAGCCTACTATTATGTGAAAAACATAATAGCCTGTTTTAACCTATTTGCTGAGGCTGTAGGTTTGTCTTTATTCTTAACCTGAAATGACTTGTTTTGAAACCCTGTGTTCTGGGCTGAGGACATGAAGAGAAATGAAAACAGCAGCTAAGGCTAAGCCATCAAGGTTGGAAGTTCTGTGCCCACAAATGTTTCCGTTCCGAAGTGACTCGGCCCCAACAGCAGGCTGCCCCTCACCATGTCAGCCAGAGCGATGTAGAGGAACATGCCCCCGGCCAGCGCGAAGATCCAGTTCGCAGAGAAGTGGCTCCCTGCCAGGATGCCGAAGCCCATGCCCAGGTAGCAGCAGCAGGCCGACAGAAAGTTAAAGAAGAGAGCCTGCTGGATGCTCATGCCGGCGTTGAGCAGTATCACAAAGTCACCTTTCACACCGAGCAGGGGGAAGAGGACAGGCATGAGGTCACTTTACAACTGTATTCAAAAGATGGTCCTGCACAGAAAAACCTTCAACTACATGTGGTTAAGGTAATAAGTTAAGCATATTGAAAAAAATCACCTTTATAGCTTTGCATTCATTTATACATTTTATTATGCTTTTCTGCTGTTTTAAAAATATTAATATCACTTTAAATAAGCAGTTATTACTACTTTTGCAGTTTTGCCAGGGATCCCAAGGAAAATCTCTTTAATGCACAGCTGTCGCCCTCCTGGTATCTAAACCCACAACATTTCTGATCCAATCCCAGGCATCTCACAAAGCCGTTAAGCAGACCCGGTACGCCATCAGCGGGAGGGGAAGATGCTCACCCAGCTCATGGGGGAATTCCTCGCACAGGATAGCTACGGAGGTGCTGATGCCTTGGAAGACTGAGACGGTGAAGGAGGCCCCAATGGCAAGGCCGTCGATGAAATTGTGCAGCCCGTCACTGAGCGTGATCATCCAGGCCAGCGTGCCGATGTCAGAGTACGCGGTGCCTTTCAGCCAATAGCAGCCACCCCCGCCTGAGCTCTGGGACTCCTGTGGGCAACAACAACCTGAGGATTAGGACATCAAACACAACATCCCTGTGTCTCCATTTGTATAACATTTCATTACGGGGCGGTGAGTGGCTCAGTCTGAAAAGTAGCCGATTTGAACCGCAACCTTGGCTGGACGGTCACATGTCTGTGGGCCCATAACACCCCCAGCTACAGGTGTGCTGCACATCGGCTGACCCTGTGCTGTGACCCCCAAGCTATGGAGTGCAAGAAGGGGTAGGTAAAGAGAAGCATTCCGATGTACTTGTGCAAACGTTAAATAAAGGATTTATTATGAAAACTACTCTGTGGAAGTTTACCCTAAAAATATGCTCATTAAAAAATCATCTTTATCTTAAAAACAAAAAGGTAGGGGTGTGAAGGGCATTTCAGTTAAAAGGTCACTTTGAATCTTATGCAGTCTCAACTAGGCCACATTAACCAGACTTTTAACATTTGTCTGGAAGGAGGAGAGCAAGGTATGTTATAAATGAACAAATGAGTTGATCATCAATCACCTACAAATGATCAACAGCCTGCGGGAACTGAAATCTTGTCTGATGCTACATTTCTCATCACACTTGCATCAGACAGCCGTCAAAGGCATGCGACTTCTGCAGCTGTGAGCGCAAATGTCTTCACAAATTCACCGTCAGTGTATGGTTTTGATGCTATTTCGCTAGATTTTTTGCAGCTAGCTTTCACAGCTGCATCACTAACTACTGCTGTTGTTTTGGGCCAGCCAATAATTTATTTATGGTGTCTGTTCACAGGTGGACTTGCAAGTTGTATTTTTCAGTACCAGACATTATATTCTTTCAGTATTGCAGTCCCCTCTCCCCCCCTAGTGGAACAAATGAGAACAGCAGGGATTTTTTTTTTTTTACTTTGTAATGCAGGATTTTTCCAATACATGTGTGTCCATATTCTAAAATGGCCTTGCGGGCTGAGTTAAATACTTTACCAATATTATTTCACCTGAGCTGCATAATCATATCTGTGCCATATCCAGCCTTGAGTTTGATGCCTGGGGTATAAAGCAGTGTTTCCCAACCCAAGCCTTGGGAACCCTCAGACAGTCCATTTTGCTCTCTTCTAGCTCCCTGCCAGATGGTCCACATCTTTGCTCCCTCCCAATTCCCGGACTATCTGGGGGTCCCCAAGGATCCGGTTCGGAAACACTGCTTAATAAAATTGCTCGGTACCTGGGAGTAATTAACTTCCCAGATCATCTTCACCTCTCTGATGGTTAATTAAAACAGATAATCTTATCACTAGGTTATGTGTTATGGAGGCCACAGTTAGCATTAAAATCACGATGTTATCGCCAAACTGACCTGGAGGGCCTGCCCAGCATTCAGCACCCTTTCACCTTCAGCTGTCCCTTGCAGTGTTCGGTCCAGTCCACCAGAGGGCACCCCTGCCTCTCCATTCTGCAGCTTCTCCGTAGCCCCTGATTCTACATCCGCCTTGGAGGCGTAGTGCTCAGCTGGGAAGTGGCTGTGGCCATGCCCATGGGGTTTCTACAAACAGAGGAACACGTGAAACACCACAGACAAGCTCAGATACTAAAATCCAGACTTCAATCACTCAATGAGGTAATAACCTAAACCTAAAATTCCTCAAGAAGCAGCTGTAAGAACTTTTCATCGGGGTCAAAACAAGACAGCAAACGGCCCTCTGTAGCAAAGTGTGCTCGTTCCCGTACACTGTACTCATGTCTCTATCTCCTGAATTTCCCCTTGGAAATTAAAGTTTAACTGATCAGGGGTGAGTTTCCCGAAGCCTTCTTAACGCTACGTCGTTCGTTAGTTCTATCTCTTAACACAGAACTTAAGAACGACGTAGCGTTAAGAACGCTTCGGGAAACTCACCCCAGCTCTCCAACTTAGCTTTCGCTAACTGTTTTACTTTTTCTTCTCCAAAATCTTAACGAGATTAACTAAATTTTGATTTCTATGACAGCATCTACGATTTTACTGCAGGCAATACCTGTGGTTTAGTACTCACTTGGATATATACCACAATGCCATATTAAACTTCAATAACTTGCATTTTTCTCATTCACTATAGCTATGCACATACCAAATAACTCAAAAATCTAGTAATTGCAATCGTTTTGCCCACAAAACTTCTGACAGACGTCCGTCTGCCAAGCATCATCAGTCGTAGATAAGTAGAATTTATTACAGTGGCCAGTTTTATAATTCTGTGGCACATCAACAGCTGATTGATTGGTGACAGTCCACGTGACAATCCCCAGGCCTGAATCACACATGATGGTAATAATTACTTAAATTCACACAGCGAAACCCAAACCTGGACTCACTGCTTGAGGGCATTATGTCTTTAGTACAATTAGCTTCACCGTGATCTTTTAAAGTGCATGAAAGTAGAATCATTAGGTATGCTGTTTCATGTCTGCGCATACCACTGAGAGATTAACGTTAACTTGCCTGTTAAATCTCATAAAGATCTAAAATACACTCACCCCGTCTTTCCGTTTCAGGACCATCTTTAAAATCTTTTCTGTGAAAAAGAACAGGTAGAAGCCCCCGAATACCACTGCCGACTTGAATATGTAGTAATTTTCCTGTGGGTCGAATCCAAAAGCCTAGATGGGGGGGAAAAAAAACTGTTATAAAAAATGCTTTAAAGCCCAAAGACAAAGGCAGCCAATTAGCCCACTCCACAGGACAAATATGGCGTTGAAATCATATGAATTTTAATGCTACTACAGGCAAAGCCACCCACTAAACTAAATCCGGTGATTACTATGCCTGTCAGAGTTGGTGTCCGTTTCACAGAATATTCAAGTAAAGTCTAATTTTTTTTTATTAGAGACATTATCAAAAGTCACCAGTGGGCATGCTTAAAAACATTCAGGAAGGGACTAACAAACAAAATATCAGAATAGGCCTTTGTGTTAAGGACCCTTTGAATACAGGCCATGTTACATGTAAGTTATGTTAAAAGAAACCACTGCACATTTAATCTTTTTCTTTTTTCAATGCAAAAGTTAATATTATAGCACTAAAAAAAGACAAGGAGTCCAAGGACCGCAGAAACAGATAGAAGGGAATTTCTTTAGGCTGTGGGCCTGACCTGACAAACACTCCTGCTAAACTATATCATACGCAAACTGGGACAAAGAGCCCCACTAAAACAAGAAACCCATTTTAAATGTTTACTAGGAGGCACACCAGCATTTTCCCAGATCTATTCCTTGGAGACCCAAAACCAGCCATGATTTTAAGTGCCGGTTCCAGCTGCCACCACATAAAAATGGTGACTGAGTACAGTTTAGGGACCATAAGTCATATATATGGCGATCATATCAATTTTGGTTGTATCAGGCTGGGCTGGTGGAGGGTCCCCCAGGTTCGGAGCAGGAAAACGGTCACCCGGCACCCCACGGTACCTCTGGGATGAGCTGAAACAGGGCGTTGGAGTAGAGCGTGCCAATGGCCAGGGCTATGAAGTAGAGGAGCAGCCGCTTGTAAAACGTTTTCCTCATGAAGGGCACCACACTGGCCCCCAGCAGGGAGCACAGGGAGATGACCGTGACGCACAGGAACCCATAACCCCAAACTGACCATGAGCACAGAGAGCCAGACAGGGAGGAAATAGGGTGGAAAGTAGGGGAAAAGAGAAAAAAAGAAGAAAATCTGTTGTTTTTTTCTTTAATCACTCATTTATCAGCATGCATCCGTTGACATGCAGGTTTTCTTTACAACAAAAAAAAACTGCATGATCAAACCGCTGTCATAAAATGGCAAGTGATTCATGAGGACAATATGGCATTGATGCCTGCAAGGAAGGAAGTCTTTGGCAACGGTCAGGCAGCAGTGGCTGGACACAAAGAGGATACCTCTATCCTGGGAGACAATAATTACTTATTCAAGTGAATGATCATCACAGTCGTGTAGAGATTGATGAAGATGAGAAGAGCGGCTCTGATTCAAAACACCCTGAGATTACAGGTGCCGACGGCATTTCGGCTTCAGGCGACGCGAGGACAATGGAAGGGAGAGAAGGTATTAATCAGGACACAGAATGGCTCTTTTCACACCTGAAATAAGAGAGCCTGCCAGCCAATGCCCCCACCCCAATTAGTGGGGTGAGCGGCTTCAGCTAGCCAGAGGCCTCTCCGGCCAAGTGAGCGCACGCTCTCCCGATCAAACCGGGCCAGCTCACATAGCAGCCAGGCAGATGTGTCTGCACTACTGCACTGAACCCTGGGACATGGCCCACTGACCCAGAGTGCAAAGGTCAGGCCTCATCAAAAAAACAAGCCGGTGGGTCACGAGAATCTCCTAACTCCAGGTTATACTGATTTAGCCCTCATAGTGTGAACATTCTATTGTTTTATTTCCCCACCCGAAATCACATTCAGTAAGATTTAAACTATACAAAGCTGCACTTCAGCCAGATTTTCATTCGGACGCTAGATAACCAGCAAACTGAGGGCAGTGTAAGTGCAAACACAAGCCTGGAGTACAGTGTGAGCGACACAGAGAAGTTAATCAGTTGTACACCCTCAGCAGAATCAGTCATCAAATGCAGTATTAATTTCCCAGCATGCCTTCTCTGTCCCAAGAAGGAAGGGGAAAAAAAGGAAAAAAAAACAGCTGGATACTTTTCTGGTGGGGGGGGGGGGGTTGGTTGGTGGTTTACTGCACCTCAGGCAGGAGCTGGAAGACAGCAGTGGAGAAGAGGGTCCCGATGGCGAGGGCGATGAAATAGATCAGCACCTTGTGCATGAAGCGTGTCTTCATGCAGGGCACCACAAACACGCCGGTGAGGGAGAAGACGCTCACCAGCGTCACACTCAGAACTGAGAAACCCCACACTGTGAGACAGAGAGCAACAGGGGCCGCCATTAACGGCACATCACAGGAGGAACCCTGGTTCTGCGGCACGCCCCCGTTTCCACAGGCAAGTCTGTCCTGCTGCCCAAACCAGCTTCAGATACAGCATGGCTACAGAAAAGCGACTCCATGGATAACTGACCAGAATCTCCTAGGTCTGCGATAGAGCTGGAAAGGGAAAAAAAGGCACTTAAGACTAACGGGGTGGTGCGTGGTGAGGCCTCCGTGCCTGTGATCGGAAGGTCAATAGTTCAAATCCCATGTCTGGCAGAGTGATGTCACCTTTGGGNTGTGAAGGGCATTTCAGTTAAAAGGTCACTTTGAATCTTATGCAGTCTCAACTAGGCCACATTAACCAGACTTTTTACATATCTATGGAAGGAGGAGAGCAAGGTATGTTATAAATGAACAAATGAGTTGATCATCAATCACCTACAAATGATCAACAGCCTGCGGGAACTGAAATCTTGTCTGATGCTACATTTCTCATCACACTTGCATCAGACAGCCGTCAAAGGCATGCGACTTCTGCAGCTGTGAGCGCAAATGTCTTCACAAATTCACCGTCAGTGTATGGTTTTGATGCTATTTCGCTAGATTTTTTGCAGCTAGCTTTCACAGCTGCATCACTAACTACTGCTGTTGTTTTGGGCCAGCCAATAATTTATTTATGGTGTCTGTTCACAGGTGGACTTGCAAGTTGTATTTTTCAGTACCAGACATTATATTCTTTCAGTATTGCAGTCCCCTCTCCCCCCCTAGTGGAACAAATGAGAACAGCAGGGATTTTTTTTTTTTTACTTTGTAATGCAGGATTTTTCCAATACATGTGTGTCCATATTCTAAAATGGCCTTGCGGGCTGAGTTAAATACTTTACCAATATTATTTCACCTGAGCTGCATAATCATATCTGTGCCATATCCAGCCTTGAGTTTGATGCCTGGGGTATAAAGCAGTGTTTCCCAACCCAAGCCTTGGGAACCCTCAGACAGTCCATTTTGCTCTCTTCTAGCTCCCTGCCAGATGGTCCACATCTTTGCTCCCTCCCAATTCCCGGACTATCTGGGGGTCCCCAAGGATCCGGTTCGGAAACACTGCTTAATAAAATTGCTCGGTACCTGGGAGTAATTAACTTCCCAGATCATCTTCACCTCTCTGATGGTTAATTAAAACAGATAATCTTATCACTAGGTTATGTGTTATGGAGGCCACAGTTAGCATTAAAATCACGATGTTATCGCCAAACTGACCTGGAGGGCCTGCCCAGCATTCAGCACCCTTTCACCTTCAGCTGTCCCTTGCAGTGTTCGGTCCAGTCCACCAGAGGGCACCCCTGCCTCTCCATTCTGCAGCTTCTCCGTAGCCCCTGATTCTACATCCGCCTTGGAGGCGTAGTGCTCAGCTGGGAAGTGGCTGTGGCCATGCCCATGGGGTTTCTACAAACAGAGGAACACGTGAAACACCACAGACAAGCTCAGATACTAAAATCCAGACTTCAATCACTCAATGAGGTAATAACCTAAACCTAAAATTCCTCAAGAAGCAGCTGTAAGAACTTTTCATCGGGGTCAAAACAAGACAGCAAACGGCCCTCTGTAGCAAAGTGTGCTCGTTCCCGTACACTGTACTCATGTCTCTATCTCCTGAATTTCCCCTTGGAAATTAAAGTTTAACTGATCAGGGGTGAGTTTCCCGAAGCCTTCTTAACGCTACGTCGTTCGTTAGTTCTATCTCTTAACACAGAACTTAAGAACGACGTAGCGTTAAGAACGCTTCGGGAAACTCACCCCAGCTCTCCAACTTAGCTTTCGCTAACTGTTTTACTTTTTCTTCTCCAAAATCTTAACGAGATTAACTAAATTTTGATTTCTATGACAGCATCTACGATTTTACTGCAGGCAATACCTGTGGTTTAGTACTCACTTGGATATATACCACAATGCCATATTAAACTTCAATAACTTGCATTTTTCTCATTCACTATAGCTATGCACATACCAAATAACTCAAAAATCTAGTAATTGCAATCGTTTTGCCCACAAAACTTCTGACAGACGTCCGTCTGCCAAGCATCATCAGTCGTAGATAAGTAGAATTTATTACAGTGGCCAGTTTTATAATTCTGTGGCACATCAACAGCTGATTGATTGGTGACAGTCCACGTGACAATCCCCAGGCCTGAATCACACATGATGGTAATAATTACTTAAATTCACACAGCGAAACCCAAACCTGGACTCACTGCTTGAGGGCATTATGTCTTTAGTACAATTAGCTTCACCGTGATCTTTTAAAGTGCATGAAAGTAGAATCATTAGGTATGCTGTTTCATGTCTGCGCATACCACTGAGAGATTAACGTTAACTTGCCTGTTAAATCTCATAAAGATCTAAAATACACTCACCCCGTCTTTCCGTTTCAGGACCATCTTTAAAATCTTTTCTGTGAAAAAGAACAGGTAGAAGCCCCCGAATACCACTGCCGACTTGAATATGTAGTAATTTTCCTGTGGGTCGAATCCAAAAGCCTAGATGGGGGGGAAAAAAAACTGTTATAAAAAATGCTTTAAAGCCCAAAGACAAAGGCAGCCAATTAGCCCACTCCACAGGACAAATATGGCGTTGAAATCATATGAATTTTAATGCTACTACAGGCAAAGCCACCCACTAAACTAAATCCGGTGATTACTATGCCTGTCAGAGTTGGTGTCCGTTTCACAGAATATTCAAGTAAAGTCTAATTTTTTTTTATTAGAGACATTATCAAAAGTCACCAGTGGGCATGCTTAAAAACATTCAGGAAGGGACTAACAAACAAAATATCAGAATAGGCCTTTGTGTTAAGGACCCTTTGAATACAGGCCATGTTACATGTAAGTTATGTTAAAAGAAACCACTGCACATTTAATCTTTTTCTTTTTTCAATGCAAAAGTTAATATTATAGCACTAAAAAAAGACAAGGAGTCCAAGGACCGCAGAAACAGATAGAAGGGAATTTCTTTAGGCTGTGGGCCTGACCTGACAAACACTCCTGCTAAACTATATCATACGCAAACTGGGACAAAGAGCCCCACTAAAACAAGAAACCCATTTTAAATGTTTACTAGGAGGCACACCAGCATTTTCCCAGATCTATTCCTTGGAGACCCAAAACCAGCCATGATTTTAAGTGCCGGTTCCAGCTGCCACCACATAAAAATGGTGACTGAGTACAGTTTAGGGACCATAAGTCATATATATGGCGATCATATCAATTTTGGTTGTATCAGGCTGGGCTGGTGGAGGGTCCCCCAGGTTCGGAGCAGGAAAACGGTCACCCGGCACCCCACGGTACCTCTGGGATGAGCTGAAACAGGGCGTTGGAGTAGAGCGTGCCAATGGCCAGGGCTATGAAGTAGAGGAGCAGCCGCTTGTAAAACGTTTTCCTCATGAAGGGCACCACACTGGCCCCCAGCAGGGAGCACAGGGAGATGACCGTGACGCACAGGAACCCATAACCCCAAACTGACCATGAGCACAGAGAGCCAGACAGGGAGGAAATAGGGTGGAAAGTAGGGGAAAAGAGAAAAAAAGAAGAAAATCTGTTGTTTTTTTCTTTAATCACTCATTTATCAGCATGCATCCGTTGACATGCAGGTTTTCTTTACAACAAAAAAAAACTGCATGATCAAACCGCTGTCATAAAATGGCAAGTGATTCATGAGGACAATATGGCATTGATGCCTGCAAGGAAGGAAGTCTTTGGCAACGGTCAGGCAGCAGTGGCTGGACACAAAGAGGATACCTCTATCCTGGGAGACAATAATTACTTATTCAAGTGAATGATCATCACAGTCGTGTAGAGATTGATGAAGATGAGAAGAGCGGCTCTGATTCAAAACACCCTGAGATTACAGGTGCCGACGGCATTTCGGCTTCAGGCGACGCGAGGACAATGGAAGGGAGAGAAGGTATTAATCAGGACACAGAATGGCTCTTTTCACACCTGAAATAAGAGAGCCTGCCAGCCAATGCCCCCACCCCAATTAGTGGGGTGAGCGGCTTCAGCTAGCCAGAGGCCTCTCCGGCCAAGTGAGCGCACGCTCTCCCGATCAAACCGGGCCAGCTCACATAGCAGCCAGGCAGATGTGTCTGCACTACTGCACTGAACCCTGGGACATGGCCCACTGACCCAGAGTGCAAAGGTCAGGCCTCATCAAAAAAACAAGCCGGTGGGTCACGAGAATCTCCTAACTCCAGGTTATATTGATTTAGCCCTCATAGTGTGAACATTCTATTGTTTTATTTCCCCACCCGAAATCACATTCAGTAAGATTTAAACTATACAAAGCTGCACTTCAGCCAGATTTTCATTCGGACGCTAGATAACCAGCAAACTGAGGGCAGTGTAAGTGCAAACACAAGCCTGGAGTACAGTGTGAGCGACACAGAGAAGTTAATCAGTTGTACACCCTCAGCAGAATCAGTCATCAAATGCAGTATTAATTTCCCAGCATGCCTTCTCTGTCCCAAGAAGGAAGGGGAAAAAAAGGAAAAAAAAACAGCTGGATACTTTTCTGGTGGGGGGGGGGGGGTTGGTTGGTGGTTTACTGCACCTCAGGCAGGAGCTGGAAGACAGCAGTGGAGAAGAGGGTCCCGATGGCGAGGGCGATGAAATAGATCAGCACCTTGTGCATGAAGCGTGTCTTCATGCAGGGCACCACAAACACGCCGGTGAGGGAGAAGACGCTCACCAGCGTCACACTCAGAACTGAGAAACCCCACACTGTGAGACAGAGAGCAACAGGGGCCGCCATTAACGGCACATCACAGGAGGAACCCTGGTTCTGCGGCACGCCCCCGTTTCCACAGGCAAGTCTGTCCTGCTGCCCAAACCAGCTTCAGATACAGCATGGCTACAGAAAAGCGACTCCATGGATAACTGACCAGAATCTCCTAGGTCTGCGATAGAGCTGGAAAGGGAAAAAAAGGCACTTAAGACTAACGGGGTGGTGCGTGGTGAGGCCTCCGTGCCTGTGATCGGAAGGTCAGTAGTTCAAATCCCATGTCTGGCAGAGTGATGTCACCTTTGGGTCCTTGCTCCAGGGATCAGCTGACCCTGCTCTGTCAACTGTACAGTCACTTGTTACTTTGAATAAAAGCGTCTGCCATATAAATAATACAATGAATTAAAAAAAAAAAAAACCCAGCTTAAGACAATAGCATGATGCAAGGTGTATCGGTTACAGAACAGCTCTGACAGACTCTGCTAATTCTGCTCCACCTGGGAGAGTCTGGCCTGCAAACATCAACAGCTATGGGGAAGGAGACAACCTGTGAAAGCAGGTAAAACCGGAGAGGCGACGGGCACAGGCACACAGCCATTCATAGCAGGCACTGCTGTGCAGCTGCTACCTAGATATCACAGTGCTGTAAAGGAGAGAGAGAGTTACTGGGGAAGAAAAGGCCATGCCAGGCCCACATTTGCTCTCATCACTTTTAGAAAAGTGATGAGAGCAAATGTTAAGGAAACATCTTGAAACTTGCAAGGTTTCAGGCTGCATCCTGTTAACTTGGGTAGTCCAGGTCAATGACCTTCCTTCCTCTCATTCAGTGATTGTTCAAGAGAAGTAAAAAAAAAAAAAATTAAAAAATTAAGACGGCAGCTCAGTGAATAACACAGAGAGCACATAATCAGCATCTGAACCTTGAAAAGACTCCTAAACACACAGGGTGGGGGGTGGGGATAGGAGACCATAACCACACCCCCTGCCACTTCACCTAAAAGAACCTCCTTCTGAAGCAAAAACAAAATGCAGCTTCCAGAGACACAACAGCATCCATAATGAGGGAGAGAGAGCTAAATGAGAGCTATTAATAAGACTCCCATAATACAAGCAATGCTCACCCTCTGCAGTGGAAGGCTCAGTGGGCTCGTTTTGGCTGGGCTCTGACCTGGACTCCTCCCCACAAGCCCCGGTGCTCAGCTGCTGCAGCAGGGTTGGGCAGAACTCCTTCAGGCCACGCCGGTCCAGTCTGGACTCCTCGCTCAAGCCATGAGCCCCAAGCAGGGCTTCCCAAGACAGGCACTGTCAACAAACGCCCAGGCCACGTCAGGCCGGAGCTGCCCCAGTCCCGTAATCAAACCGCAATGCACCAGCTGCGTAATATGTTTACAGAGTAAATGTAGAGGCTAGTTTTAAACACGGCACGGCACTGAGCACATAGACATGAACGGTGATACACATACCGTGCAAAAATGTAATAAACTCTGAAATCCAAAGTACACAAGGATTAACATACCTAAACTCTGAGCCCTGTTTCGTCCTATTTCTTTTACTTACGTGCAAAATTTGAAATGTAGATAATGTAGGAGTATGTGATTACTTTATCGGTGACAACTAACAAATCAGATAAGTGGCCATAAACCTCTAAACATTGACAAATACGCAAATACGGCACAGCGGTTCAATCATAAAGTGAATTAAAATACAAGGGCCAGAATATAAAGGATCTGACCTCGATGAACCAGCAAGAAGGACTTCAACTGGCACATAGTAACTAGAAAAATGCTACGTGGCAGTTATTTAGAGCAGAACGCAGCAGAGACGGCGCTGGCTCCATTGGGCCGAGCAGACTCACTCTGGATACGGCGCCCCTTGAAGGCCATTCCCCTGAGCTATTGTCCCCTTGTCCTACACTGAAGTTGGAAAGCAGAGTGCGAAGCTGGGATATGAAAACAGTGCTATTGTCTCCATAGTGACTCAGCAGGTCGTCCATGAAATCGGTTGGAGAGAGCTTCCCCTGGGCCCCCGCCGGCCCTGGGAGGCGCATCAGCAGCAGGGCCAAGGTCAGTGTCAGCTGGGCACCACCATGGCTAGGCCTCTGGATCATGACTCTCCCGGTAGGCGAGGAAGGGGGGGAGGGGCAGCAGAGTGGAAGCAGACTGTCGGAGAGACAGGGAGGCACCAGGTCACAGGAAGAGAAGGTGGCGGGCGAAGATGCATGTTCTCAGCCATTGAAAGGGGGTAAAATTAAGTGCCACCAAACATTGCATACTACGAAATATAAAAAAAAAAAAGTACTATACAGACGCTCCTCTACTTATGAACGAGTTACGTTCCGAACGGCCCTTCGTAACTTAAAATGTTCGTAAGTCGTTATTCAACATCATTTTAAGGGTATACGCAAGTACAAAGAACTAGGATGCTGGGCGTACGCACCCGACGTTGCTGCGCGGTGGGAGTAGCGGCTAGATGTCATACTGGGCAGAACTGGCACGCAGAAAAAAAAAATTATGTTGCAGACAGGAAACAAGAACACAAGGCCCAATTTACAATCCTTTTCATTCATATGTCTGAAAGTTCGTAAGTTGAAAGTTCGTAAGTAGAAGAGCGGCTGTATATCTAAATCACTCAGATATCAAATAATTCCAGTCAAAAATCAAAGCTACAAATACTCACTTCTTCCAACCTTCCAACAGCTCGTCCTTGTTTGTATCGATGACACCAAGCTTGGACACTTGGGAAACTACAGAAACCGTCAGAGAGCAGCAGTCTGTGAAGGACAACAGAAGAATGGAGCTGGCAGACAGCAGAGAAAAAGAAACTCTTTTAAAAAAGACCAGGTGCAGAGCTACAGGGCATTGTGCGCTGCATCCAAACAGACAAGCAGCATTGGCTCGGTCATTCTCAACCCGCTCGTCTACACTTGTAGCCTCATGTAGGTCACCACCAGGCTGCATCTAGCAGACGTCCGCACTGGCACAAGAGTTGTTGAGATCAAGCAAGTCGGTATAGCCTCCCCGCAAACCCTCCCATCAGACCCACCCACTGCACCCTGGGTCACCACTGGCTACAGTGTAGATGCCAACCAACACAACCAACCTATACTTTTCACATCAACCTTGTAATAAGTGCGCGATCTGCAAGGTCTGTAACTACATAGATGCGGTCATAACAAAAGGAGGGAAACGATGCCTGGCAGACTTTTAAAAATAATAATAAGGAATTCAAAAACAAAATCGAGTTCTACCCTTGTACACCAAAGTTCTCACAGCTGTCTATCAGGCAACTCTGTCTGCCAGTGATACCTAGAAGGACACTTGGCCCTAGACTGCCAGAGCACTTTCTGTCCAGGCCTATTTTTAAAACAATGATACGACGGACGAGGTGAGGTCTCATTTGGGAAAGGTCGAGGCAGCACACCACAACCTGGAGGCTTGTAATGCCCCCATTACACTGAAAACGGTCTCACACTACGTCTCTTCAAAACACATCGTGAGGGGGTGGGGAGGTGGGCATTTCCGTTTCCAAATAAACACATAAAGACAGGATGACATTAGGAGACCACAGCCATGCATTCACCCCCTGTGCTTCACAGCAAATGGGCCACATCCCTGAGCTTTTCCTCAGGCAACCTGGCAGGATTACAAGCATGTGGCACGCCCCGTTTTAACCGCCAGCCGCTTTCTGTGGCAGCTACTCAAGAGTAGGCGGTTCGAGCATCTTAGCCATCTTCCCTCATCTCTCTCAAAGCAAACGAGTGGTATCGTGTCACAAGCAGACAGGTCATTGCATTCCACCTGGATGACACTGTGGCTCGGGATTTTTCAAGGTGGGAGAATTGGGCAGGCACCCTTTAGTGTAGGCTGACCAGATAATCCATGTCAGGGAGGACACTTCAAGCTACTCCAGGTTTTACAAGCTACTTTAAAACTGAAAGGCACCTGTGCTTGGCTAAATAGCTCACTTCTTCTTGTGCTCTGACTGGTTTGATTGAAAAACTCATCCAGCTGTCACTCATTAACATTAGTGGCATATGCATGATTATAGGAGACTGGCCAATCAGCACACAGCAAGAATTTGGTGCTTACCTGAGATCCAGGTCCTTTTAATTGAAATGGTATTTTAGAAATCCTGTCCTAGCTCAATGTGTCCTCCCTGACATGGATTATCTGGTCATCCTACCTTTAATGAGCACAGTTTAATGTGGACTGGGGTAGCGGGCCATAAAAGTGCCACCCCCCCTCATTGGCAGCTGAACAGAGTCACTGAGAAAGACACCAAGCTGACCAATCATCATCCATTAAAGGCAATGTAACAAATTAACACTTCACACATAAATTACACCAGCACCAGCAAAATAATTATACCAGACAACACTAAAGTATCTAGAATATAATGCTATCCTCTGGCGTTTTAGCCCTAAACGAGTATATCCAATCAATCTACCTGGGACAATCACACTTGTGTACATGTTTGGAAGTTATGGAAGCATAATTTCCAAGCATTAGAATGTGTAGGAAAAAAAACTTCTAAACATACATGTAATACTTCTGCACAACCAAAAAAAAAAAGTCATCATATGAAGACTTGGGAACTGGAACTAAGAAACGAATCCCGTCTATAATTTCCATCTTTAAAACAGTTTTCATTCATTTTCTAAAGATCACTTTCTTCTACCTTAATGGAATGAGGATTCTTTCTTATGCGAAACAAGAGCAGTGTTCTGTAATGTTCTGTTTAATACAGGGAAGAGATCCTGTAAAACTAACCATGTTCCACAAATGTAATTATAACTACACACACCACCAGTTGTGGGAATGTTATGTCAATGTTTGCTCCTCCTTGGTTTGGAAAAGATATCATTACCCAAGCTGAAAATGTATTAACTCTTTGTACAACTATCCACTACATTTGTCAGAAAAATATCTGAAGTCACAAGCCTTTAATAGCACCACAAACTCCAAGATCTCCAAAGGAATAAAAGGAAGAATTCTGCTTAAACCACATCCTACCCAACATGCTGTGTCATTGTCTACGTGCCAGTAGAAGAGTGAAGACCTAATACTAGGCAGATAAAAGTATGTTAAGCTCAGAGTTCACCTAGTTATAAGGCTATCTGTCAGGCAATAGTTCAAACAAATTAGTACTCAACCACAAATTAAACATTAATAATTCTTTTCTGAATACTAAGCTGCCGCTGGATGATAAGCCCATATTTTTCCCCCCACAGCCCAAGTGCTTAGTAAGGCAATGCCATTGTTGGGCAATAAAGCATTTAACACTTGACATTTCTATCATGTTTCAATTTCAGACATCCTCATACAGCATAAAGAAACTGTTAAACCAGTTTATCTAGTTGAAAAGCTATGATTCATTCATTCTTAAGGTAGCACTACCTTAGTGCAACAAATCAAGATAAACAGCATTCCATTTTGTGGCAAGGCTGAATCGAGTTCAATAAAAAGTTAGACAAAGATGCTTAGCATAGGTAACATCAATATCTAGCAGCAGGATTAAAGTATATCCAGAAATTCACAAATAGAACTGTAAAAACTTACAATGGTCTGATTTCACTTCTTGAAAACCACTGTTCAAGATTAACTGTCTTAAGTGTCCCACTCTATATTACAGTCATTACATCAGCAGGACCCAAGCTCTGGAGAACCACAGCTCAGCTTTTCTCACTCTTAATAACCTGTTTCGGAAGGTCTGATGTAATCTGTTACTAACAATTATTGGCAACTGAACCAGTAATTTCTAAAATCCAATTCTGATGTATTATTAAAGTGGAGGCTCCATTTCTGAATCTATGTCAAAGTAATGGCTATGCTTGTAAATATTAATAACACACCAAACAAATACATTTGATTTTAAATTACCCTATTATAATATGCCCGGATTAAAGTTCAAGCACTGAAACAAACCTGCCATTTTTAACAAATTCAATTTCCAGTCTTTTCTGGCCTATTTTTACTAGGTTTGGCAAGATCCTAAATAAAACTCAGTATTTTCAGAGCCATTATGTTAGTATGCACTGATTAAGATTTACCTGCACTGATATCAAAACATTATCAGCTAGATGTCAGAACTGATATTCAGCTACCACAGATGAACACCTAGCATTACATTACAATATGAGGGTATTAAATGGATTTAAAGTCATTTAAAGACGTCTTTATCTTCTAACAAAGTCACAGGTATACTTCATCAGAAATGTTAAAATAACGCTACATAAAAGTACCAAGAGAGGTATAATCCTCAGATGAAACTAGCCAACGGCAGAAGGTTTTACAGTAATCTGAAGATACTACACTACTGAAAGGGTGATTTCTTTCAGTTTTTATATACTGAAAGTGTAAATCCATTCCCCTTTTCTTCATTTCATTCTGTGTTCAGTCGCTCCTCAGTCACCTCCACCTCCTAGAGGTGGTGAGGACCTCTAAGTACATTAGAGTGCACTTAACTTGAGTGGATCCCTAATACAAGAATGGTCAAAATCACCTCTACTTCCTGAGGAGACTGAGGTCCTTTAGCATATGCAGGTCACTGTCTTATGTGTCTTCTACCAGCACGTTGTTTCCAGGGCAGTCTGCTATGTTAGCTGGCTCAGTCTTAAGAGCTAGTCTGAACTCAGAGGAAACTGCTGCCCATACTCAACAATGACTCCCAATTTCAGCACGACATCTTGGCCAAGCAGGGTAACACATTCAGCAGCAAGCAGAAATAGCTGTGCTGCTCCAAGGAGTGCCGCTCAAGGTCATTCCTGCCCTCAGTCATTACACCCGGTAAGGAGTTACCCTATGGGAGGGGGGACAACCAACTGCCTGAATGGACCGGAACTGCTTAGGCACATTCAGAGAACATTCATTCGTTCACTCTGCTACTATGGAATTCTGTGTAATACTTCCTCTGACAATCCTTGCACTGGTACTGTTTACTGTTGTCTATTGTTACCGTCTATTTATGTTTAAGCTAGTACTATCAAATGATTAAAATTTTTAATCAGATTAATCACAGGGTTGCTGTGGATTCATTTCAATTAATCACGATTAAATATCATTCATTTTTAATCTATATTAATCACATTTCATTTTGCATGAGCAAACAGACTCAAGAAAAAAGGGAATATATATGCACTTAACATGTTTATTGAACATCTTGAACACGAGTCGGATGCATTCCATCTGCCACAGAAGTCCAATACCATGGACCCATATCAAAAAGCAAGATTTCTTTGCTTAGCCGGACAACTTGTCAGAATTAAGGTACCTCAGTTTAAATGGTCTTTATCTTCGTTCACTTACAATTAGCCCGAACTACTGTAAATCCAACAAATAATCCGACTAATCATGAAATTCTAGCAGCTGAAGTGGTCATTAAGTGGTTTGATGAGCAAGAAACGTTATAGTGTGTGTGCCCGATTTAATGAGCCGCAAATGAGAAGTAGTGCTTAAACAGTATAAAACTACAACTTTCCCTTCTGTTGATAAAGGGCGCAGCCATCTCGGATTCTGAACTCGGGATCCTCTGTGCTGCTCCAAGATCGGATCTCCGAGAAACGGGAGGGCATGTTGTCACTTCCAGCTTCAAAACTCCGGGTTGACAGAGACATTTCAGGGATTTTGAGTCATTCTGCGCTGCAGATGGGTTAATTGCGTTAAAAATTTTAATCATATTAATCATGATGATGGATTAATCCACATTAACCCGTTAATTTTGACAGCTCTAGTTTAAACGTTTTTTATTGTGTAAATGTGTGTATTCAGCTAC